ACATTCCTACCAGCAGCATTCAGTCCCATTTCCCATGATTCTTGCCAGCAACAGCTGTCATTAAAGAAACATTCTAATTCCATGGACAGAAATGTGGTATTTCATTTTGATTTGTACTTGTTTATAGCAAGGTTAAACTTTTGAAATCGATTGTTGGCTTTTTTTTCAAAAAATTTTAAAATATAAAATTTACCATCTTGCCTGTTTCAAGTGTACAGTTAGGTAGCATTAAGTATATTCACATGGTTGTGTGACATTGTAGATCTTTGGATCTTTTTCATTTTGCAAAACTGAGACTCCATACCCATTAAACAAGAACTCTCCATTTCCCCTTCTTTCCAGCCCCTGGGAACCACCTTTCTACTTTCTGTTTCTATGACTTTGACTACTTTAAAACCTTATAAAGTAAGTGGAATCATAAAGTACTTGTCTTTTTGTGACGGATTATTTCACTTAGGGTAATGTCTCTAGGTTTATCCATGTTGCAGAATGTGTCAGAATTTCCTTCATTTTTAAGGCTGAATAATATTCCATTATATGTGTAGACGCACCACGTTTGGCTTATCCCTTCATTGGTTGATGGACATTTGGACAAATAAAAGTAAATTTGCTGATGGATTAAGTTTTACTGGAACACAGTTGTGTTCATTTGACTGTTTATCATCTGTGGGGACTTCCTTACTACAAGTTGCAGACTTGAATAGTTGCAGCAGAGTCTGTTTGACCTGCAAACCTCAAATAGTTACCATTTGGCCCTTCATAGGAAAAAATGGCTGACCTCTGCTCTGGAGAATTCTATGTTTCACAGTCATTTTCTATTTTATAGAATATTTAGTCCAAGGTGGATAGTGGAGGCAGGTTTCTCCCAAAGTTTCTGGTTCTGGCGAGTCATGTCTCAAGGCAATGATGCAGTTACGAAGACACATGTTGGGCCTCTTAGACGAGTCTCTGTAGCTGCCGTGTTCCCCAGGGTGGGGTTGGGGGGCCCCATGTAGATCTGTCATCCATGTGTGCCCAGCTCTAACTTGAACAAGGTTTCAAAAATCATCCCTGTTGTTTGGGCTGGTTGTGAGATTTAATAATTCTTCTGTTTATTGAAGTATAGTTGATGTACAGTATTGTATAAGTTACAGGTGTACAGTATAGTGATTCACAATTTTGAAAGGTTATACTCATTTATAGTTATTATAAAACATTGGCTACATTCCCAGTGTTGTACGGTGTATCTTTGTAGAGATTATTAATTCTTGAGAGGAAGGGAGATGGGAGGGAGGATGGATTGCAGTGGGTGAGCATATGTGTGCACTGTGGCTCCCAGTGGTGGTGAGGAGAGAATATGCTCCGAGGTCAGCCTTGCTGATTGTCACTTGGAGGCAGATTTCCACACTCGTTTGTGTAAGCCTTTCAGTGAGGCAAGAATTCTCCATGTCCGTTATTATGACAGACTCATAAGCTAGCCTGGGGAATTTGGAGATCTAAACAAGTCTAAACTTTTACAAGCCCTCAGAATGGTATAGTTGTCAAGGGGGTAACTTCTGATTAGCGGCTTTGGTTTGCTAAACTATAGACAACTGACCTTTCATCTCAAACCATACTGTGCGCTATCATTTAATTTCCTTCTCCCCGCCAGAAAATGCCATAGCAAGGTCCAGTACCAGGTGACAGTTTCTCTTGTCTCATAAAAGTAGTGCCTCTTTGTTCATTTGAATCTGCTATTATATTTTACATGCAATAAAAATCTTTCATAATTTATGCTTGGGTCACTCTTTCTTCTGTTGAATAACAAAAATTCAGCCGAGTAGATTTTAAAGATCTAATCCGCATTATTGAACGATCATGAATTGGGCAGCAGCCCCTCTAGCAGGTAGAGGGGAGCTCCAAAGGGCTGCAGAAAGGAAGAAGGTTTCAGAGGCAAAACAAGAAAGTCACAGCAAAAAAAAAAAGATTTCTGGCCTAGGTAACATACCTGTGGGGGACAGACGGGGTCATGTGGTAGATTGCCATATCTTCCTTTGAGGGGTGGGAAGGATGACCTCACTGGTGCTGACTAGAAAATTCCACACTGACTGGCTGGGACTATATTCCTGGGGAAGGTTGTAACTATAATTAGGTTAGGGATTAAGTCTTGGTTTTAGCACAGGTGTCTCCATTTGGGGTCTATCATTTTTTTTAATACTTCTGATAGAATTGTGTTTATTTTTAAACAATCGTAACTTCTAAAAGTGTAAAATAAATTTGTGTTCACTGGAAAAATTCAAACAGTATGGAAGTGGATGGAGTGAACCATGAACGCTTTCCCCTCTTCAAATTCACCCCCATCCAGCTCTCGAGCTTTAAATTATTAAAGGTTGACCCTGTGTTCTCTGTGATGTTTTGGAACTGTTTAAAGTTTGCAGCTCCCTGCTTTGGCAATTTGACTTGGTCTCTAGCATCTCAGGGTGACCAACACCTTGTGAGAATTGCAGAGTCCTTCTGCCTGGTGGGGGGGGGAAGTGAAAGCCCTTTGGGGAGAATTAAGACCCCAAGTTTGTCACCCAGTCATGGAGGCACCTTCAGTTAGTGGGAAGACCACTGTTGAGAAGCAGACCGGTTGGCTTAAGTTAAAACTGGACCTGAGCTCTCTTCCTCGCTGTGTGACCTTGGGCCACTTAATCTCCCTGATCTTCTGTCTTCTTACCTGTAAAGTGACAAGGAAACACAACTGTGCTCTGCTGGAGAAGTTCAGTCAGTGGGGGGAGACAGAGAATGTATAAATGTGATGTGCAGGTGAGGCTAATGCCAGCAGGTAATTTGCATAACACGCTGTGTGATGGTGGCAAAAAGCTGGGACAGGAAGAGGGAAGTGATTTCTGAGCAGGATTGTGGAAGAGGAGTGCGAGTTAGTAGGGGGATCTGGAAAGGGTGGAGGACAGGGGGGTCGAGGACCCACCCGATCAGTGTGTCAGCTGTGTGTAGGGAACATGGCCAGATCCCGAGATGGGTGCAACCCATGGCCTAGCTTGTAGCCAATACAGGAATCCCTTCAGTACCCTGAACTCTTCCAGCCCCCACCCCTTTGCACATGCCTGTCCCTCTGCTTAGAATGCCTTTCTCCTGTTGCCTTCCTGGCTGACTCTCACCACCTCAGGCCTCAGCTCAACTGCCACTTTCTCAGTAAAGCCTTCCCAGCTGACATCGCCCCCCACCCTTCTTTAGTCTCTCCATTCTTCTAAGAGGCTGTCCTTTCCTTTCCTTTCCACATTATAATTATGAAGTTATAATATTATGTATTATGTATTATATATAATAATGAAGTCATCTCGTAAGCTCTGAGTCTGTTCTACCCTCCATTGTAAGTCCCAATCCTAGTCCGGCACATGGCACATAAATAGTGAATGAATGAATGAATGAATGAATGAATTCCCCCCTGCCAATTACCACCCCAACCTATCTTTCTGATCTAATCCCCACAGAGCTTCTCTGAATTAGTTAGTGTCTTGTGGCTGCCGTAAGGAATGACCACAAACTTGATGGCTTAGAACAACAGAAATTTACTCTTTCACGATTCCTAAAGCCAGAAATTTGAAGTCAAGGTGTTGCCAGGACTGGGCTCCCTCTGGAGGCTCTAGGCCAGAATCCTGCCTGGCCTCTCCCAGCTTCCGGTGACTCCAGGTGTCCTTGTCTTGTGACTGCATCCTTCCAGCCTTTGCCTCTGTCTTCACACGGCCTCCTCTGTGTGTGGTTGATCTCTTCTGTCTCTTATAAGGACACTTGTCACTGGATTTAGGGCGCACCCACTGACGAAGACCCCTTTTTCAGATAAGACCGCATTCACAGGTTCCAGAGGTTAGGATACAGACATGGCTTTTTGGTGGCCTCCCACCCTCCCTGAACCCTTGCCATCAGCTGCTGTGGCCTCGTCACCATCTCTTGACTGTCCATCATGCTTTGTCTGCATCCTGTGTGTAGGCCATCCTCACACCTCTTCCTCTTCTTTCCGTGGACACTGAAATTCCCCTGCAGGTGAAAGGAACTTCCTTCCCCTTGGAAGCCCCACCTGCGGCTCATGGTTTGCTCTCGTCCTGCGGGACCGCTTTCCTCTGTCTGCTCTGCTCTCGGTTGGCTCCTCCGCGATGCCACATGGGACTGGAGGCTGGAGCTGGGGTTCTCGCTTCCTAGTACTCCTTACAGGTGGCAGAGACATCAGTAGAGACTGAGGAAATACTTGTGGATGATAATAAGTATCTGGAAAATGGGTCAGATTATATTATCAAAAAACAGGCAAATCGCGACTATGCAGCCAAAGCCTCCTTTCCATAGGAAGACACATCTGCATGCATGTAGTCAGGGGGGTTAAATTTTTTTCTTTTTCTTTTTTTTGGCGGGGAGTAAGTGTTAACTCTAACAAGCTTTGGTAATAAATGGGGTTTAAGGAACAATAGACAATCTGAGGGACATGGAGGGCCTGGAATCAACTGTACTGACTTGAGGGTCAGAATCAAGGTCCTGACCTTCATCGCTCTCGAGGCCACACCATCTATTATCTAGACTCTGGAGCAGTTTAAATGTCACAGCGGGGACCTGTTCCTTGAAAGTGTCAGTTCCTGGTAGAAGAGCCGTTCTCAGTGGTGGGTCTCTGGGCACCTTTTCCATTCCTTCCATCTCACTGCCAGCCAGCAGCCCCTGAGGCCCTCACGGCCCCTCCGCTCCCCCATGTCTCCAGCCTCATCTGATTTCCCCAAGGCTCCAATTCTGGCCTGACTCTGCCTGGCCTTCAGTTTGAGGGCCTGTCATCACCCAGCTGCCTTGGCTTTGCCATGTCCCAAACTCCCAATCCCCAGGTGGGCCGATGTTCACCTTAGTCTGGTCAACAGGGGCCGGGTTGGGGAGGAGTGGAGGTACACTCTCTCGAGACGGTGGGAGGGCAGGCTCTCAGAGGGGATTTGGGTGGGAGGCCGGAGAGGCATATCTGCTCCTGTATGGAGGTTCCAAGTCACCGAGTGATGTGTCTTATTTTTCAGGTTGATCGTTTTCTCTGTTGAAGATGTTTCCGGAACAGCAGAAAGAGGTATGGCATCAGAAGTCCAAAAATAAATAATCCATGCCCTTTGACTCACTGCAGGTCAGTCTTCATTCTCTAACATGAATCTGTAGAGAAGTCAGAGAAGGGGACTAATGGAAGAACAAAGCCGTGGCCCTCCAGCACCCGCTGGCCCCAACCCCGGCATCGGTGCCTCCCTGGTCCTTATTCCTTGCTTCCAATGACTGAGCTGTCTCTCTGCTCACTCCCACCCACTGCTTGTGAAAGTATCTTTTTCCATGAGTCAGAATTCTCCCAGGCTCTGCCCCCCCTTTGCCCTGAACAGGCTCCCTCTGGCGGCTGACTTGGTTTTCTGCTCTCTTGACTCATCCCCCACCAATGGTACCACCCAGTGATGCTGGCTGCCAGGCTGTCTGCTGCTAGTTTCAGCTTCGCCCTGCTCGTGTCCTCTTGGATCTCTGGGCTGGGTAATTCAAGGAAGGCTGCCCCTTCTTGAACCCAGCCTGGCCTCCCTGGCTTCCTGCCCCAGCTTCCTGAGGTGCCGTCTGACTGGGAGGACGGTGGCCTGACCACCACACCAGCCCTGCGCTGAGCAGCCTCCCTCAGAAGTACCCGTTTGTCTACCCTGCTTACTGTGCCCCACACGTCGTTACTTGGGGAGCTGAACAAAGCTCAACAGTGGCATGTGGGCCTTTGTGGGGAATGTGTGCACATGCGCGTGTGCACACACACACAGTCATATATGCACACGCCCGTCATGCATGCAGACACACATAGTGACAGACACAGTCACACGGCCACATGGGCCTTCATTCACCTTGCCCAAGTGTAAAGCACTAACCAATCCATTCAGAGAATCCTTCCAGAAACTTCTTTGCTACAACTCTCACCCTTTCTTTTAGCCCTGTTTGGGTTCAAGCTCTCCTTATAGTCCAGCCTGCTTACACTCTTTAATTCCAGGCTGGGCTCCCCCATTTTCAAAGGCGGTATTTTTGTTTGTTTGTTCTTTAACTTCTAAAAATTGAGTGTAACACACGTGCAGTAAAATGCATAAAAGGCCCTAATCTTATGTGTACAGCTCAGAAGATTTTCACTTATGAATACACCTGTGTAGACAACACTCGGCTCAAGGTGTGGATGTTCCCAGCACCCCAGAATGTACCTTGTGCCCCTTTCAGGTCAGCCCCTGCCTGTGCCCCACAGAGGGAGCCCCACACAATACCAAGATCAGGGGTGCTGTTTCCCGTCCCTGTACTAAGCCTCGCTGGCCTCAAGCTGCTTTCTTCAGGAATCACCTCCTCTGAGAAGCTGGCCAGACTGCAGGTCCCTGCACGGCTTCCCTCACTTCTGACACCAGTTTCAAGTTTGGGGGTTCCCCAGACCGTCCTCAGTTTTGATTATTCACAGGAAGGACTCACAGAACTCACTGAGAACAATTATACTCACGGTTATGGTTTATTACAGGGAAATTATACGAATTAGAATCAGCCAAAGGAAGAGACTCAGAGGACAAAATTGGGGAGGGGTCCAAATGCGGAGCTACTGGTTACCCTCTCCTTATGAAGTCAATACCCACAGTGTCTGGTGTCCAGTTTTATTGAGGCTCATACTGCCTGCAGGGCTGATCTTTATTTAGTCTCCACTCCTTCTGGATCAGGCTAATACCTTTAGTCTCCAGTGTGGCCCTAAGCTTCCACCATATTCACATTGTGAGACTATTCGGTGGCCAAAGCCCAGGCAAACAGAGGTACTCCCACCAGGCAGGGCACTCCAGGGGCTGAGAGATCGCCTCCCAGTAGCCGAGGGCAGAGCCAGCTCTCCTTTTGGGTAAGTTCAGTCCTTCACTACACACCTGTGTCGGCCTGAGCCCTGGGCAGGCGGTACCAAGGGAGCAGGGTCGTACAAATTACATACAACTATTCCAAAGGCACATTTTAAAAATTGTTCTCTTGGGAGTAAAAAGCTACTAGTGAAAGCAACAAAGATTTTTTTTCCAATTAGAAGGTTTTTTTTTTTTGGCTTGGCTGGTTTAATCACTTGATTTTTATTTTCAGTTCATTTCAGTTAATAAAAACTAGACACAAATTTTAACCGATTACATAAAGAAAGCATTTTATTACAGTGAACTGTAGTCAATAGCTTGTAATAACCTATAATGAAACAGAATATGAAAGGAATATATATGTATAACTGAATCACTATGTTGTACACCAGAAACTAACACCACACTGTAAATCAATAATACTTCAATAAAAAAGGCATTTTATTGACCTTGCAAAAGTCCTTTATTATAAATAATTACATACTAATATTATAACATTAAGGAATTTTCAACTGAAAAGGAAAAAAAGTCCATAATGCTCAGAAATTCACTTTGGCCTCTGTCAGCAAGAAATAAGGATAGCAAGGTGAGATTCTGGTTGTGCTGTAATGTACTACTGTTCATCACATGTCAGTTCAAACTCATTCAAACAGAATGATTTCCTGGCTTCTAACCTGTTGCTGTCAGAACAAAATCCAAGGTCCTAAATGTGCTTTCTACAGCGTTGTATGATCTGACCTGCTTCTTTCCCCGGGCTCACCTTCTGCCCCTTCCTCCACCCTGAGCCCTGCTCATTCCTTACTTCGGAGACTTGAATGCCCTGTGCGCTCCGGGCGCCTGGGCTCTCACAGATGTTTTTCCCACTGCCTGGAATAATCTCTCTCCCCCAGCCCTCGCACCCTGTTGACTGGCTAACTCCTCCTTATCTTTCAGCCCTCAGCTTAGAAGTGAACGCAAGGCTTTTCTAAAGCCTCAATTATCAAGGTATTTTTATCTCACCACCTACCCCAACAGCACCCTGTAGTCACTGCCAGTTAGAAGGGGAGGAGGTTTTGATCGAGACTTTAAATATCTTAGTGGCTGGCGGTTGTTTAGTGGCAAATAATTCAGGTCCCACCTAACTGTGTATGTAAGGGCTGAATGCAGTATCACTGATGGTCCTAGAATCTAGACCAAGGCGGGGTAGTGTGTGCGTGTAAGCACTTTGCACTTGGTGCCCCCAGGAGACATTCCTAATTAACCACAAGATTGGCACATGAATTGAGACCTAGTTACTACCATCCTTGTTCAAGACGCAAACGGCTCAAGACTGACATTTTGTTTCCACCTAACTGGTAGTGCCAGCCTAGAAGTTTGGTAAATTATTAATTTTTTGAAAAAGATTTGGAGGAGGTGGTGTTGTGGAATCAATTGCAATCTCTCTTGGTAAAATAGCTTTATTGCTGCAATAAATCTAGAGAGTGGAGAACAGGCTGGGAGAGGCTCCCTTGTTAGTTAAACATGTTCCATTTGCGCATTGGTTTGAATTCCCAGGAGAGCAGTATCCGAGCTGATGGATCTTCTCCATAAAAAGGCCTTGGCATTGGGCCATTGTAAAATTAAAATGAATTCAGAGTCATTCATGCATGCAACTTTAATTTACAATTAAAATATTATGGTTACATATTTTAATAAGAATAATTAGATGGACCCAACTGAATCAACTCTTCTGTTTAATGAGACAGAACCCCCAATCCTAATGGAAAGTCAGGTGGCTGTGACAGGAGACACGGTTCAGGACAGTGTCTTTTGTTGGAGTCAGGCATTTTTGTTCTTTTTCTATTTGAATGTCCAGAATGAACACTGTGATTTTTCTATATTACTAAGGACCTTTGGGCGCAGTCATGTTGAGCTCATCTTACGTGATGTGTGAATAAGCAGTTTCATAGAGTCTGACATTCTAGCCCCTCCAAGGCACTGGATTTGTTCCTCTGCCCATGGCTCACTTGGTATGAGTGGGGTGGTCCTACATGCGTGATGTGACTGGAAGGGTGGGCTGAAACCTCGTGTGTGTGTGTGTGTGTGTGTGTGTGTGTCTGTCTTGTCTGTCTTGTCTCCCCAGCTCTCCTGGATCATGATGGCTGAATTCTACCTTTAAAGATTCATATCTCTTGGGTATGAGTTTTTTCTCTTTCAAAATGTACATACTTCATATTGGATATAATGGCAATGACTGGTTATTGACGTCCTAGTGACTGTAAATTCATCAGCTCCATGGCAGGGGATACCCTGAGTGGAGCAGACCCAGTGGGTCCGGGAAGTTTCCAGACACTGTGAGGTCCCTGCTGCGCAGGGCCCTGCAGGGAGGAATAGAAGGATGTGTTGGCTCTAAGCTTAACATTTACGTGTTGGAGATACGCTTATGCTGACTGACGGTAACATTTTGGGCTTGCTCTCGGAAAGTATGATTTCGGTACTGATTTTCTGATTGGAAACCAACTGAACTGGAACCATTGAATGTCATTAGAGAATATCCCAGAAGCCAGGCCTCCACCTGGTGTCTTGTGGTGCTGGGGACTTTGAAGGGAAGTGACAAGACCAGACCAGACACTTTTCCACTCCCCAAAACTCAATTCATTGTTGTTCCTTCCTCCTTCCCTCCCTGCCTATGTGATGTGATGTCATAATAGGGAAAACTGGGTATGGGAAATTCTCTACTATCTTTGAACAATTTTTCTGTATATCTAAAACTGTTCTAAAATAAACAAATAACACTGAATTATATATGCTCACATACAAAGATTTCTAAAAGATTGTGCGATGAATAAACCAAGGTACGAAACAGTTTAGTACACTTTCATTTACCTTAAAAATTATATATATACACACACATACATACATATATTTGCCAATTATGTACATAACATTAAACATATATAAAAGCCCTGGATAGGTGGACAAGAAACTGGAAGTCCAGGAGGGTCCAGTAGGAGGAAGACTTCATTTTCATGGTGTACTCGTCTGTATTTGAAATTCTCTCTCTCTCTTTCTTTAACCACATACATGTTTTATTTTTATAATAATGAAAAAATTCTTGTTTTTTAAAGGTAGATAAGTGTTAGGATACCATTACATTAATGGTGTCAGTACACGATGAACTCACAGGTAACGCGTTTAGGTCCATGTTTGTGACTTACTTTCACTTTCAAGTGCCACACGTGTCTCT